GCCGAACTATTTCTCGATTGCGCAGATCGCGAGACTCATCCACCAGTTATATGCATTTATACAGTAATCAATCCGCGATCAAGTCTCGTAATCGAAAACATGAGTAAAGTCACGGACGAGGAAGAAGTGCTGATCGTTCCATTCACTGTTTTTCAAGTAAAAGAACAACGTGATACACAGTTGGTTCGTGAAGGTCAAACCTATTCTGTTAAAGAAATTAAATTGGAAGAATGCGTTCAAATATGAACTCTCATTTATTTTTTCAAGAACTTCAGAGTGGTTTCATTTTAATAAAGAAAAATCATTAGGCACTCACATTGGCAACGATGATAAGAAATTTTCCTCGCTCACTTTTACTCTGAGGCAATCGTGAATATATTTCAAATAGAAATGATTAATCAACTGAAGAATGTTGTCTTGTTTGTTTCTCGCACGTGACATATATTGATTATTGTCGAACGTGTGAGAGTTTTTTCAGTCACAGCCATATCCACATACCAACACCGTGTTCGTGCTGTTATTCACTATGTACTGTGAGTCTGAGTCAATTATTCATAACCTTGACTATAGATGTGTGGGTATAAATTTGAATATTTCTGCATCTACGCCAACACCCACAACCATACCTTCCTAGATTCAATGAATACTATCCATCGACGACTACCTTGATTCTGAATTCGCCATAATCACTAAACCTAGTAACACGACTCAGTATTCGAGTCCGAACGACAAAACGCCATAAACAAGTTTTAAATTACAAAATGTATCCACTAAATCGGCGCTTTTTTCTGATGATCGCCCCTGACAATAGCATCATTCGAATCAGCATCTCATTCTGCATCATGCATAACCAATTAGAACAATGCCTAGAGGAGTTTTTGTTGACTATGATCGTCAGATTTATTTGACTTGATCACATGACTAATATTCACTGAAAAAAATTCTTATGATTTAAGTTGAAAAAGAAATTGGTATTTAGTAATAAATATTTACGTCGGCAAAAAAGTCCAAAGCACTCAATGCTGTAATCCCATCTGGAGGTATGAATTGTCTCATTAAACTTCATCGTCGAATGTAGTGGTATGACCCCCATTCGTCTTCCTGTTATATCTTCGGTTACTATACATGGAAGATTAGTTTCTTCTCTCTCTTATCCCTTCAGAATGATCCTATGACATGAAGAGTATTTAGTCATGAATAATTGTTTTCCAACAGGACGCCCTCCATATCGAAGAAAACTGATTGTACGTCGATAAATACTCCATTACTATCGTCAACAAAACGCTTAGTCAAAGAAAACAAGCAAGTAATTTTGTATGAGATATTTGCAAGTTATCAAAGCGCTAGAAGACTTCGACTCGATCTTTATTTAAGAATAAATTGTAAATAGTACACAGTCACTCACCCACCTTCAAAATCATAGTCACGAACCAGGTAAGATGCAGGTTTCTAAGTAGAAACAATACTTTCTTTGATTGTTACTAGACCTTTCCTGGCAAACCACCTCGCCTTTTTTTCCTCTTTTTTTAAGAAAAAAAAAATAGATTTTTCACGGTACACAGTCGATAGTGTTGGTCGATATCATTTGAAAATCAAATTAAGGCATAATTACAAAAATAAGTTGCAATTGACTTATTTATCGACAAGAATAAAAAGTAAAAAGTCAGATGTTTGAGTCAATTGAAGTATTTTTTTGATAATTTGTCACATACCTTAAGCAAAAGACTGACAGAAATACGAACAAGACCTTTAACATAATCTTTGGCAGGTCAAAATCGAGAAAGTCAAGTCGAAAATGAAATCATAATGAGTTCTTACAAATCTCGAGAAAAATCGATCGAATATTCTGGCTTTAAAGGCTTACAATTAATCTACCCATCATCAAGTTTTTAAATCGTAGAAAGTAAATGATAGCGAGTGTTTTTGCAAGAATAATAGGTTTCTCTGTATTTTAGTAATACAGGGTGTTTCATAAATTTTGAGGCTTGTTAAAAATTAACTTTTATGTGAACAAAAAACGATCTCAAATCAAATGTTTTTATATGAAATGTAAGTACTCGTGACGGGCTTTCAAATGGTGTATTATGATAATATATCTTCTCTTGTAATAGAAAAAATATGGGTATGACAATGTTATGATAAATTTTTCGAAATCGACCAACATGAATTTTTACAGATTTTTTTTAATAAAGTCTTAGGCTCATTTTTTCATTAAAAAAAGTGTAGCAAGAGCCAAGAACTAGTGATCTTAATCGGTTATTTGGCGCTCATTATGGAGCATAGATCACATGTTTAACCTCACCATATACTCAGTAATCGAATTGAAATGGATAAAATATATGAACACATCACGTGACCGTGCAGAACGCAAAATTGTTTTTCATCGGTAAGGTTCAAATCTTTTTCTTATTTGAAACGTTTATTAAATTCAAAGTGTGATTGTTCATTTTATTACTGGATTTGGATAAGACAAATAAATCATCGAAAAATACATGACTATTACTATTATTCTTATATTTTTTTTCTTTTTTAATTCAGTTTTATTTGATGTTCGTTTCGACATTTACGATATATTTTTAACCTAATGTCTCGTAGACAAGATCGACAACAAGAGAAAGAATTATTTCGACCACTTGTATTATTATTACATCGTCAAAATCCTAGCTGGACTGTGCCTGATATTGCCGATTTCTTCGAACAATCAGATAATCCACCAAATTTAAATCGACATGCTTTAGTAAACAAAATTCATTATATATTAGCAAGAGGAACAGTTTGTGAAAGAAAAAGATCTGGTAGACCACGAACAACTACAACTGCATCTTATAGAAATTTAGTATTAAAAAAAATTCAAAACCAAAATAAAGCTAGTGTTAGAAATGTATCAGCAAAATTAAAAAAATTGGTTGGAAATCGTCACCATCTTCAGTTTACAGGGTTGTCCAATCAGTCGGATTAAAATGGTTTAAAAAAAGAAGAACACAAAAACTGACATATGATAATGAAGTACAACGTGTTAAATGTGCAAAGAAGTTAAGAAGAAATTTTGGTGTTACAAAAAGATCAAGTAAATGGATATGGGATAAAATTATTAACATGGATTTTTCGGGAAAGTTCACCTTAGAATCACATTCAAATCCACACAACGAAGGCATTTGGGCAACAAGATTTGAAGAAATACTATCAACATCCCGTGAACGACCAACAAGAAAGTTTGCAAGTGGTATTGTTTTTTGGGGTGGTATCTCATACGAAGGACTAATTCTCAAAAACGGTCCAATTGATGTCATATTATGGTTGAAAAAGCAACCAACAGATAAAAAGAAAAGAATTTATATAAATGGCCATTTATATGCTAAATGTATTAAAGAATTTGCTCATCCAGAAATTCAAAAGGTATGTGGAAGAGGTCTTACATCTCAAGACGATGCTGACTCAAAACAACGAACCAAAATTGTATTACGAACTGTTGATAAATTATTCAATGATCAAATTTTACCAGAAGAAGGTGATGCTAAATTTGCCGATATCTGGCCTGCTGAGAATATATGGGGGATTCTAAAGGAAAAAGTACAAGGCGAACAATTTTCAAGTTTTGAACAGCTAAAAAAGAGATTGAACGAAGAATGGAAAAAGATAACTTTTGATGATTGTAAAAAGTTGATTGATAAAATTCCTAATAGACTCGGCGAAGTGATTAAAAATGGTGGAGAACAGATACAAGACAGTTAAACCATATATTTGTCTAATAGAATTAATATTTTTCTGTCAACAAGAATACATTTTTTTTAAATAAAAAATTCGTGTTGGTCGATTTCGAAAAATTTATCATAATATTGTCATGCTTATATTTTTACTATTACAAGAGAAGATATATTATCATAATACACCATTTGAAAGCCCGTCACGAGTACTTACATTTCATATAAAAACATTTGATTTGAGATCGTTTTTTGTTCACATAAAAGTTAATTTTTAACAAGCCTCAAAATTTATGAAACATCCTGTATGTCTTTGAGTAATCATTAGTTCCGACTTTGCTTTTCAAATCGTTCACCTTCAAATTCTCTACAAAATGCTGCGTTTTTCTATTACACTCGAGTAAGATGCATTATTTTCCAAAATATAGTTCGAATGATGAGGTCAAAGTAAATTTTTTTCTCAAAGAACCTTGTTGTACAATTTTAATTGTTGTATATTTCAACTGTTCAATAAGGGTGTGGGGATGAGTGCGAGTAGGTGTGTTTGGGTGAGTGTGGGTGTGGATGCAGTGCAGAGAGAAGTAGAACTCACACCCGTACCCACACCCACACCACCCCGTCCACACACTCCATACCCAAAAGAATATGTGTTTTTTTGATTCATTAGAAATGAGTATTTCATATTACTGATTGATATTTAATCTAACTTGATCAATAAACTTTTTTCAGGCATGAATATTCGTTGTTTTATACAGAAGTCCGATTTCTAAATACTTATTGAACAGAAATTCGTGCCATGTCTAGTTGAGTTGGAGTGTGGATGCAGATGTGAAAATCTAGTAGAGAAGGAGTCCAATATCCGCAGCCACACTCACACTCTCTTCCCTCTCTTGAATTTATCATGGACAAGAAGATACGAAGATTGATTGAACCAATGAAAACGAATAATTAATTCAGAACCCTTTTTATTAGAAATACATAATTACCAAGTCCAATACATTCATCTTTTAATACAAAATACAATCAATGCGATTATTAACCGCGTTTTAATTTTCTATTTATTTTTTCTTTCAGGGATTGCTCTTCAGTTAGTTCAAGTGCTAGATGATAATGGTTATTTGCTTCAACAGAACGATTAAATTCAAACTCTAATTCACCAAGAGCATAGTGTAATGCAGCTTTGTCTGAATTTGAAACAGATTGTCGAAGAGCTTCTTCAAATGAAGCTCTTGCGTTTTCGTAATTATTTATTTGTCGATAAACTAAACCCATATTTGTTAACATGGATATTTTTGAAAGTTCTGCATCATCTGCATAATTTGGTTGAAGAGGAAAATTTGGTTCATCATTTGATATGGACATGTTGCAAATATTTTCGTGTGATTTTTGAAGATTTTCAATTGCATTTTCATATGCATTATTTGCGTATTCTGATTTAGCAATGTAAAGATAAATCCTAGCACGATCATATTGTGAAAAACTTGGTGATAATCTAAGCATGCGTTTATAAAAATTAATAGCATTAGTATATTCTCCAAGTTCATGCGTAATTCTGCCTAATGCGAAATAATCACAACTGTTTGTCGATTCATCCAAATGACTGTTCATATGTACGTGTACGTCTGTTGATAGTTCTAATTCAACTTTCCAAAGATTTTCTGCTGTTTGTTCAACAGATTTTATGTACCAAATAAATCCCATAAAGAAAAGAACTTCATCTTCATCTCGATGATCACTGTTATTCGAAATATCAGCGTACGGACGTTTATTTATGATTATTTCATTTAATTGATTTTCATCAAGATGCATTTCAAATCGAACTGACTCATAGCCCAATACTGGATTGTCGGGATCAGCATACGCATTTGCTACTGTTTTATTTTTTGTCGTTGAAAGAAAACCATTCATTGATATAAGATTATTTTTATTATCGGATAATTGTTGTATAATACGTTTTGGTAATTTTGCACCTCGATAGAATGTATATTCTGAACGTTGTCTTTTTGATCGTTGTTGACTACCTAATTCGACTAGTTGTTGATGTAAATGAGCTATAAATGGATGAAATATGAAGATCTTTTCCATAGATTCACATCGTAATGCAGCATTGATACTTCGAAAAAGAAATGAATTTTTACTATAAAGTCGAATGGCATCATTCGGACTATAATCTTTTTGAAAATTTTGAATTTGTTGAACATAATTATCATTATTCTCAGTATTTGCTTCTCGACAACATGCTGCCCACATTTCTTCAAGATCATTTTGAGTTTTTTCTATTTTCAACAATATTTCAATAAAAGATTGAAATAAAATGAATCTACGTGATTCTCGAGATAAAGAATAAAATGGTTTTTGTTGTTGAAATCGACTATAGATACCAAAACTTAATGTGGATTGCTGAAGGTTTAATTCATTATCTTGTCGAATTTCTTTGTTATGATCATGCTGATTCTCGATGAATCCTCCTAAGTCATAAATAATTTTTTCAAATAATGAATCAATATTTTGAAATCGTTGACCATTGGGTAAGTTTGATAATAATCTATCTTGGCCAAATTGTAATTCATAAAGAAAAACATTTTCTGAATCTATTATACGAGTTTTTACGACAGAGCATAGATGTTCAGCTAGATTACCACAGAAAATAAATACTAGTCTATTTCCGTTAAATTTATCCTTGATATAAGAGCAGAAATCAATAAGATCAGTAAAAATACTTGAGTAGTGAAAAATTTCATCAAGACGTGATCGCAATTGATCCTGATGGTGCACTGACAAATTTTTATCATGATAAACAATGCAAATTAGATTTTGATCGTAGGGTAATTGACGTTTTCGTATCATTTTTATTTGATGAATCGTCCAGTAAAGATAATTTCGTTGATGATAAAATTAAATTCAACTATAAATGATCATAATGATTTAAATCAATAGTTTATTTTAAGTTCTTTATTTCTAATTTTAAATAAATAATTTCGAAATCAAATGTATATAAATCCTATGTACTAGAAAAAAATGAAGAGAACTCAAGTTTTAACAAGGATCAGTAATTGATATTATGTTTTCTCTTATATAAGAACATATGTTTACCTATGCATTCGTAAACTTTCATTATACAGTTTGAATTGCATATATCAGTCAGAATACTGCAAGTTTCTTTTTCGAAATCAATGCTAATGATGATCGACATAAAGAAAAATTATAACTGCTCATTAAGAACTTCATATATAATAAATTCTCTTGTTCTGGTCTAATAATGGATTCTACAGTGTTGAAATTAGGATGTAGGTGGGTGTGAGTGCGGTTGTTTATTGTTCATACACCCACTCACACACCCTTAACAATACTCATTAGATAGAAAAATCAAAGAAAGTTATTTATCGGCTTTCAAATACTGAGTACTGCAGAGGAAAATTTGATTGAAGTTATTTTTGGTACAACGAAATGCATCGTAGTTTTGAATGGATAGTAGCCTACAATGAATTCTTGATCTTTCAATTATCTTTATAGGATAAACAAAGCAAAATATAAATAAGGATTATAATTTTATCACGAAGATCTTTCACAACAATGAATTGAATACTTCAATGTATATAGATAAAACCGTTGAATTTGAACACTATTCAGTCTGAAATTTATCTTACTTACTTCATCGAGATAAATTGCATAATTCAATTGCTGATTAAAGTATTGTCGCTGTTCTTATATTAAGGTTAAATCTAAAATATAGATGATAAATACATTACAATGATATTAAAATACACAGTTTAATTAGCATTTATGACAAAAACACGAGAGAAATTCAATTTTAGATCGATAAAATTCACGTAAGTTTTTGTCATCTTCCATATCGAATAGTTGTTGATAACAATCAAGTGCTGTTGAATAATCTTCAAGATGATAGCTAACTTCAGCTATTTTATTCAATGTTGACGATTTATCAGCAGTCGTTTCGCGAGAAAATCTTATAATCGACATTGATGAATCATTTTGTCCAGTTACATTTTGAGTAGATTGACTTTGAAGTGTAGATACTTTTTCAAAACATTCTAATGCTTGTTGATTTTTCTTCATCATTATGTACATTAAACCCATATTATTGTAAATCGATACGAGACTCGGATGATCAGGTAAAATCATGTTTAAAAGACAACGATAATATTCTTCAGCAATTTTATCATCTTTTAAAACCATCAGATAATTACCAAATGTTAACCATGTGAGACGAGCATTAAGTTTGCATTGAATTTGTTCTTTGATATGTTCCATTGTTGCATTAGCTAGTTCAATTTGAGCATAGAAAATACCATCAGGTCGTAAATCGATCGATACTAATCGAAAAAGAATACCAATATTAAATAGGATCAGATCTGAGTTCAAATATACGACGGATATCTTCTCCGATAGTTTTATTTCAAAAAGAATAACAGATAGTCGATTATCAACGGCTCGACGACAAATATTCAGAATCGAGTGAATTGAACGTGAAGCTAAAACGAATCTTTGTGGACTTAGCAATATATTACTATTAGTTTGCATCAGGTCTAAATCTGCTTTTGATACTAATTGACATCGATAAACAGTAAATGTAGACGATGTAACTTGCTCCGATAATGATGTAACACATTGACTGACTATTTTCAATGATTGAATCGATTTTTCAAATTTAACACTATCAGATTGTTTGAATAAATTTTTGATCGTGCGATTTAGTTCCATTAAATAAGAAGGTAATGAATCAATGTTTATTTTGTCACTATCAAAACTAGCCAATGTTAATTGAATCGGTAACTGTGAAAGTATATCAGTAAAAAAGTGAAAACGAATACTATCAATTTGATCTTTACTAAGCTTATCCAGAATATGTGAATCGATTTTGAATATACTCATAGTCAGTAAATGTATTCGACTTTGACGATAGAAACAAATATCTGTTGTCAGTTTTTCGAGCAAGGTTTCATAATTACAAAACGTTCCATTAAACTTCAGATATGTTGATTTAATTTGTATTTTTTCCTGACATTTTGCATCTGTGATAATATATAGTGCATTTACTGCATCCAATTCGGCTATAGATGAAATACGATTATCGAATTCGTTCGTCAAGATAATTAGAAAAATTGTTCTGGAATTTTCAGTTTGAATCCAATTAATACATTTATCAATATCATCAAATTCTTTAATAAAAATATTTGTATCATGAGACAAATGAAACGATGAATGTAACTGCAACTTTAACACTAGGACACCCAAAGAATTTAAATCATCCTTCGATCTCATATCGAAATATTTTAAGGTTTTGTTTTGCGTAGTTTGTGAACATAATTCAAAAAGTAATGACTTCGATCGTGATAAACAAGCAGGATATTCTACGAAAGTGTCTAAATCATTTTTCAATGTCTCGATAAGAAGGTCGATTGATTCATTGTGTTGACGAATTTTTGAATATTCTTTTATCCAATCAGTTGGTTCTTTATCGATTGAATTATCATGAATATAAATATTTTCAATAGATCTATAATTATGTATTAAAGGTACTACAAATGTTCCGAGTGTGGCCGATATAATCAGATAAATCAACTTATTTTTGATGGGTAGAAGAGTTGAAATACAATCACATACGTCATCAAACGCGATAATCTCATGATTTTCACATGAATTTATTTTGAATTCTGGCATTGTCACACCGATAAAAGCCACAATAATATTAACATTTCGTTTTAATAGAGAATTCGATGAAGATATCAGTTCTAAATACGAATATTCATGAAATAAATTATATTTTTTCATCTTGTAAAGTATTTTTCAAGACTTCTTTTCATTTTATTTTTGTTGAACTCTCTGATGTGCTCAAGAACTTTTAAATAATTTTCTTTTTCAAACTGTTACAACATTCTATGCACTTGACATATGTTTATATTCTAATATTGAATAAAGTTATCATGCAAGACAAAAGTTTGAATTTTAATTAAAAAAAGAGTGCATAGGATCAATACACTGAATACTTTCGAGATTTTTCATTTTATCATTCTTTTTTATATAGCAGATAATTCATATCAAAATGCTAAACTGTATTATTACTATAGAGCATGGAAAGTTATGTCATATGAATATTAGGTGGGAATAATATGTATCTTAGAAATACTTTCAACAATCTTCTGATATGTTTCTCATTGTCAAGAGTCAGCAGAGTTGTATAGAAAAAGATTATTGCTCACAAATAACATAATCTTTCGCATCAGTTATATATGTTGACAACTGAAAGTTGATGAAATTATTACAGTTGCATGCGAGAACCTCACCATATGTATGAAAAACTATGAGACAACTTTAGAGACGTACATGATTATGTACACCACTTTGAAATTGTATTGAAACCAACAATAGTAAGCTGGTTTGTATTGATGAGGATATGCACTTATTTCGATCATTAAGAGCTTTGCGTACGTTTGTTTTTTCTCTGTAATCTATCGTTTAAGATAATGCTTGTTCAATCTGAGCAAATGAATGCGATTGGTTGTGTATAAAGCAATGAAATCTTAAAGCTTTGTGACTATGCACATTGTCTTTTTAAGTAGATTAAGTTGTTACATACCGAAAAACTAAAGACTTATCATTCTTATGATTAAAATTTATCGTGAAATACATTAATTTCAATGGCAATCATGATGTCTTATATGAATCCTACTGATCTACGTATGAGTGAGTGTATGCTCTCGAAATATGTTTCAAATTTATGTTATAGAAACTTGCTCTTATGATAAAAGATCCTTAGGTTTCTTTTTAAACATCAAATAGATGACCTATCAAATACTAAGATATTTATTAGCGGTTGGAAAATGAAAAATTTTCTATAAAGCATGACAGAAAGGATGCTTACTTTCAGAATAAGAGTTGACATTATTCAGTTTGAAACTAAGACCTACGAGGTCTTTGCAACATTTTAAGGCGGATTCTACACCAACATATTTGGTCGGCTTTTGATACTGAAAATTAAAAATTTGAAGATTCATTTAATCATAGTTCAATAATAATGGCAACTTTACCTTAATGACGAGTCTCACATGTTCTGTCTGATGTATAGATGTATCAAGTTTCATTTTGACTTCCATGGCTAAATTACAAAGAAGTACTATTCAGATAAGTCATTGAACTGTCACACTCTTTAGTAAAGAACATACGAGTTTTTTTGACACCATACATGGTAGATTCCATATCAGTAGTCGTTTTTTCTGACGACTGTGGCCTGTAAAGAATCCATAAAGCGATAAATAATATTTTCAAATGAAGATCTATGATAGTTATTATTGAATATGTTTTTAAACAAAATATAATATGAAGAGAAATAATTTTCAATACAAAATAGGCGGATATTTTTCCAGTGTAATATTTGTGTTAGACTCCGAAAGTAAAAGAAAGGTTTTATTTGAGTATTATCACTGATATCCGATTAACTTTGTAAAATTATGTTCGCATAGATAAGAATTTTTGCTAGAAAAAAAATATCAAATGAAATTTTATTCAAACTACTAGATCTTAAGCTTTAAAAGAAAAATATTGGTGTTCGTTCACTAACCGTTTAAGAATTTCAAATGATTGTGGTTCATATTTATATTGCATTCTACTCTTATATTCTTTTCTTCGTTGCATCACATCCTTCGGATAGTTTAGTTTCTGGTAAACGTTCATTGTCACTTCTTCATTTCTTTTAAGATCTCTGTTGATTTCTTGACGATTGTAACACAGTTCATCATAGCGTTTCTCATGTTCAAGAATATTTTCTTGCAGTTTCTGCATTTCTTGTTCCATTGTACGTAATTCTTCTGTCAACGTTTTAATAATTATTTGATCTTTTTCTTGTTTTCTATCTATCTCTTGAATATTGCTAATAGTTTCACTGATAAATTGTTCATTTTTTTCCGATTGTTGTATCTCCTGTGCTATCTTGTTTTTCAAGATTTGTACTTGAACATTTAATTCTTGCTTACGTGAATTTGCTAAATGAAGTTTTTGATGAAGATCTTCTATTATATTATTTTGAGTTTGAATTTCAGTAAGTATGCTCGAAGATTTCTGTTCGATTTTGTTACATGCATTGCATTTAACTTGTATTTGTTCATCATAATACATTTTGTTGTGAATTAATTCGTTTATTTCAGCTGTTATATTGTCTAATTGTTCTTTAATCATAAGTAATTTTCTTTTAGTATCATTAAGAATCTCATTCTGAATTTTTATTTCGGTAGACAATTCGTAGATTGTTTTTTTCTTGCTTTCAAATAATGTCTGGTGATGAATCAGTTTAAAAACTTTTTCTTGTTCCATACATTTCAATTTGTAAAGATTTGTTTTAACAGCTTCATTATCACCTTTAAACATCAAAAAATAAATAAAGTATTATTTAACATAAGACTCCTAATCAAAGACCAAAAAAGTACTATTTACTCGATGAATTCATGTAAAAAATATGAACTCATTCAAACATGTTATGATCAACATTAGCAGAAGATCAATCATGTATTGGATGATGATGATCATCAAGAGTCTCACAATGTTAAGTTTTTATTAAACTCAAAATATTATTGCTGCCGAAGTTAGATCCCGAAAACCAGAACTCGTTTCACTATGCGAGACTAAAGAATATCTAATTCACTAGAGAATACTATGTCCCCAAGCTTACCATAATAATGTCTAATTGACTTATATAAGTATAAAGAAAAGTCACAAACTAGCTTTTGCTTAGAAACAAGAGAGCAAAGTACGTCTGAAAACGCTTTGATACCGATGTAACTCATTTCAAAGATATTATGCAAAATCGATAGAAAGTTTTCTGTAGTTCCATGTAAGTGCAAGTAATAATTCTTCAAGTTCTGAACGTTTAAAAAATTAATAATGTTCTTTTTCTAGAGATTCCACATTTGACGTATAATCTAAAATTTTCGCTTCCTTTTGGTTCTTCTATGCAAGATACTTTCAAAATGTTTTATGCAAGTTCGTGAAATAGAAAAACAATAAGAATTAAAACTGCATAACGAAAATTCTTGGCCCATTGTTAGGGATCTATTGAGGACAACATTTTTTTTAGATTGAAGCCCGAAAATTATTTTTCTGTAAATTAGCAATAACAACACACATATAAGATGGTATTATATATGTATTACACTATAAAGCTAATAAACATGCAATCAACCACAAAACTGCGAATGCTGAATAATACCGAACTTTGTCTTTTTGCATCTATGTCCGATATTTGAACTCGTTGGTCTTATTTGATAGAGAAAATATTTCTTTCTTACACATGCTCTAAAATTTGCACTTGATTCATTTGATGCATTCTGCGATATCTTTATAAATTTTTGGATGATATTATATGAAGAGAATCTAAAATGATTGAGATCTTATTGATATACCAAGGAATTTCAATTAAAGAATAGGCAACTTTTACATTGAAATATTTGAAGAAAAATACGGCTTTAATAGTCTGTAACCGATTTGCTATACATCTACTGGGGCCGTTCCAATGAGCGAGGATGACAAAAGAGTAGTTTTTTAATATATGTTGTCGATCTATTGAAGAGTTTACTTCACAAATAATTTATGAGAACTTCATGAGATCTATTTTTCTAATATATTTCAATTCATACCTTCGAGTTTTTTCACAATTGATTTGTAGTTTTCGATACATTGTACTGTATCTGATAATGCCACTCGTTTTTGTTGGATAACATCACGAAGTTGTTCCATGCTTTGATGGTGCTTTTCAATTAATTCATTTTTAAAGTGCTTTATGTTTTGTTTTAAATCATCTATTTCATTTGTTTTTATTGTTCGTAATTGCTTATACAAGTGTATATCATTCGTTGTGGTTTTAATTTGTTCTTGAGTTTGTTGTAATTTATCATTTATCACTCTTAGTTTGTGTTCGACTTCTTTTTCACATTCACACACATCTTGGTGTTCTTTTATATATTTTTCAGCAGTAGCTTTTGATTCCCAACAAAAAAGTGACTTTCTTTCAACTTCTTTTTCGTCTTGTATAAGGGCTTCAACGATCTGCGAATGTTCTTCTCTAAAATGCGAGATGCGAACTCGAGCTTCCTCTAGTTTATCAATTAATTTTAAGCGTTTATAATCTAATTCTTCAATTTTTTGTCTATACTTTCGTTGAAGATTGGGTTGTTGAAACACTGACAGGTTTGTAGCACCAGCAGCTATTACGGCTTCAAGCCCAATTGAGTTTAAAGCAGGCGATAGAGCAAAAGGCAAGAATGGAAAACTGACATTAGACATAACCAGCCTTTTGCTCGACTTTGTTTCAACTTCGTTATAATGTTGTTGTGCTTCAGTACATTGTTCATCCATTTCAGTAAGCATTTTCTCGTGTTGGCATTGTTCTAATTCTATTTTGAGTCGCCGCTCTTCCTCAATTGCACTATTCAATTGATTCTGATGTTCACGTTTAAAATATTTGCGCCGAACCCATCGATGTTGAACTGCCACATGCTCATTTTCAGTATTTTTCCATTTTTGAATTGCTTCCTCCTTGAGTTTTTGTAAATCGTTACTTTGAGAGATTAAATTGGTAACTCTCCAATCGAGTTTATTTTGTTCTTTCTCAAAATACTCAACTTCGTTCAATAGTTGTATTTGATTTGCTTCCAATGATTTAATATTAGTTTGAATTTGACATAATGATTCTTCGACAGCATTTAAATTTTGTTGATGGCGAACGAGTTGATTGGTTTTATTTTTATGTATCTCTTCGAAATTTTCTAATTTCTTCTCGAGCCGATGTTTTTCAATCTCTTGGTTTCTTCGTTCAAGATTGTATTGATTCGATTGTGCCTGAGCATTACAAAGTTCATCGTCATATTTTAATTCTTCAATTATATGAATCTTTTGTCGAACATCTTCAAGTTCAAGTTCTAAATCCTTGACTGCTGCTTGATTATCATCTATTCGTTGTGAAGAACAAATATGGTTTTCACTTTTCTCGTTAAGAATAGTAGTCAATACAGAAACTGTTTCATTCAACTGCTGAGATTTTTTTTCCAAAATATCCTTTTCATAGATCAGGATTCGTTTTCGTTGTTGCATTTCTTCGGTTTTTTGTTTCAATTTTTCAATATTTTTTTGATCTGACTGAATTTCTTCCTGGATCTTTTCCATTTCCACTTGACATTGTTTTTGATATGAATCTTTCATGTGAAGCAATTCTTTGTTTTTATACAAGTCTTGTGTTATTTGTTGAATTTGTTCTTCTAATACGTTCAATGATAATAATGGATGATTTTGTGTATCAACCGTATCATGTTCTTTATTCTCTGTAGGTGATAATTGATTTAGTAATCGTTGGCGTTCATGGATATTTTGATTTTTTAAAGCATTTCGTTTCTGTAATGCATATTTAAGATTGGTCAGAGTTGCTGCGTTTTCATCAAGTTCGGTTTGTTTAATAGTGATTTCTGTTTTCTTTTCGATTCGTAGCGTATTTAAGGAGATCTTTTTCATTTCAAGTTGTTCAATCTGCATAATGCATTCTTCGATAACACGAAAATATTCTTCATTTTTGCTGTATAAGTAATCTCTTTCTTGTACCAGTAAATTAAGGTCATCTTCTAATTTGAATTGTTTACTCTTGAATGAATTATCATTTGATTTGACATCATCTATGCTTACATCTGTTCCTAGTACTTTAATACTGAATTTATTACTGTCATCATTTGAATGTTGATCAATAATAGCATCGTCGTCAACATCGGATGGTTTTTTATTTACTATAGACATCTACAACAATAAACAAATAGGGTGTGGGTGTGGGTGTGGGTGTGGGTGTGGGTGTGGGTGTGGGTGTGGATGTGAGTGGGTTGGTGTGGGTGTGGATGTGGATGTGAGTGGGTTGGTGTGGGTGTGGATGTGGGTGGGTGCGTTGGTGTGGGTGTGGATCTTTATGAACTAAAATACTCACACCCACACCCATACCCACACCCACACCCATACCCACACCCACACCCACACCCACACCCACACCCACACCCACCCCACACACCCACACCAGCACCCACCCACACCCACACCCTGCTTGCGGGACAGTTGCTCGCGGGACAATTGCGCGCGGACACTCGCTCGCTAGAACAGTTGCTCGCTATAGAACCCTATGTAACTGTTATAGCGAGCAAGTGTCCGCGCGCAACTGTCCTAAACCCATTAGATATAAATGGGTTGGATTTGATGTGGACCAAAAAATGACTTTATCCGTCCTCCATCTGTGGTGCGCTGCTTTAAATCAAAACTTGTTTTGGAACACTAGATAAGCATTAGATCTTTGCTATTAGTTGACTGTTTTTGATAAAAGATATCATTTTCAAGCTGACATACTAACCTCAATGTACCAATCAAGATGTCTACAAGAGCAATGATGGGAACACGGACTGCAAAAATAATTAGCCGTAATCAGATACAATAAAAAACTATTGGAGGAGATCAAAATCCATTTTTAATCTGCTAAAGGAACAATTCAACGTCTTAAGATCTTTTCAGCATACTCGCTCGTATACATACAGTATAATTTATAATAAAACGATAGGTTATGGTTTTCGTAATATCCTTTGCATTAGTTGATCACAGACAACAGAAGATCAAACGCTGCAAAAAAATACAACTTTAATTTTGGATTTTCTTAAGGTTAAACTTTAAGGCGTGTTTATTGTAACTTTAACTTTTAAAGTCCAGAGCAATACTAACCCCACTACTCTATTGTAAAGAATTTTTGCAGATAAAATAACTTTTCTCATTGAGAATGAACATATTTGCAGAATTACAGACAAGCAAAATGTTAGAAAAATATCATCGAACGAAAGAAATTGATCTTGCTACATTCTCAAACCTTTTCAAAATTTCTAAGTTGTAGAAAAATGAAGAAATCTACACTATGCACACAATTTCTTTTTTTTCACTTATTATCGAATGGATATTTTGTTATTTTCTGCCAAATATTTATGATAGTATATAAATAAAAACTGTTTCGAAATAGCAACACTTTCTAGATTAATATATATACAACAAATCCTATTATCCTAGAAAGAAATGAAAGCTTTTTGTTCTTCACCTCTACGGGTATGTGGCTAGTGTTTGGGTATTCAAGATGGTATTTTCTGATACTTACGAGACAGATCTATTCCTGATTAGGTAAACACCAAGAGATGAAATAGAATATGTAGGGCAAAAAAATCATTTGTTTTATGAATACTATTTGATTCATTCCTTCAGTCATGTTCTGCGAGTTTTATTATTAGTGCTGATCGACAATACTTAATTATATTTTAAATATATATCAACCAATTTTATCAAAAAATTGATTGCTATTTCGAAAGTGCCATCTTGACAGTTCATTAACGAGGTCAACATAGCTATTACGGGATGTCTCTTTATTCAACTCATATGTACACAACTCCGACCAAAATGATTGATGAAGGTGTATATGTCAGCAATAAAATACTAGCAGATGTCGTTGGGGTTTACCTTTTCAAATTGTTTTTTTTACTAATGATATTTTTCATATTTTTTCATGTTGAATAACTGAGTCAGCTGCAATTTAACTTAATTAACAATGAATTTCCTCTATATATTCTAGTTTATCACTAAACTGGTGAAAAATATTAGTATACTACTAGGCATTAGCGCAACAACAAGATACATTACCTTATAAGGACAAACGCTATTTTTTCTATTGTATGGATATTGTAAGGACTCGACAACGTTATTGTTTTCAAATGACAGCAATGAATAACAGAATGATAAATATCATATAGGATGCATAGCTCTGTGCGAGTTGTGTTGTTTTTTATGCTTTTCTCTCGCTTCTATATCGAGCGTTATATTTTTCTCCTTTCTTTTGTCGATTACCATCAATAAAAAAAAAACGAGTAGCAGAACAAAACAAAACGTCGCTGTGCCAGAATACGATTCTAGCTTGACTTGGTTCTTTCCACAGACAGAGCTGCTCTAAGTACTTTTCTACATGACATGAAACTGTAATTTAATATACATCGATGAAAGGAAAAAGCATAGTGAATGCTGTAACCACGTGATCAAGTTCTTTTTTTCATTCATAGCCATGTGATAATGGTTTAAGGGAATCCAACGAGCTAAGGGAAAATATGGACACCAATATAGAGACACAAGGAATCCATTAATGCGAAAATACAATTAGCTGCTCCTTTGACAAACTGAATCTGTTTTATTCCGTGATGACTCACTTACATTATGAGAGAGGTTGAAAAGTCGACTTTTTTTTGCGCCAGACCGATCGAGCTGAAATTTTAGGATATGAATTATGACTAATACTTACACATATTGTGAAAGTTTCATCTTTATACATATAATGGTTGCAGAGATATAATTTTTTGTAATTAGGTAAAATTGAGTACCGTTTAGTTCCATCGAACATAGCGCTCCTCGACGAAAGCAATTTTTTTCAGAAAAGAAGATAATGTCTAGTATAATTAGTAATTATTTTTAACTTTTTTGAGAATATTTATCAACTTTATTTGTTTTTTAAGTGAATTTTGGAATCTATGCTCCTCTTTCGTCGCTTGGTTACGAACAAAAAAATCACGTTAGATGGCAACTCTAAAGCATCTATCTCTGAACTATAGAGATCAAACATGCCGATGTTATGTTTCCTTTTCTTTTTGATCTTCTTTCTCTTGCAGAGAAACTGTTCGTCACTGGACAATACCATCGCTTCATCTCTTTTATCTTCTATTTTCTTTTATGCTTTCTCCGCCTTTCACAACGTGAGCCATCGATTCTACTGCAGAAGGGACAAATATATACATATTCTATCAATGAAAAAGATAGGACACAAGTGAAACATAATATAATTTTGCAGTAAAATATTCTTACAACTAACATAGTAGGTTCCCTCACAGATGACAACGTCTATCTTGTTGTAAACAGAAATCTGATAAACGTTTTTAAATGAATAAACAGAGCATAATAATCTTCACACATGAATGTACACAAACTTTACTGAAAAGAAAAATGTATTTTAACAAATACAAATATTTTAAGAAGACAATGATAGATCAGATAACTTTGACAAGACGTTCCTTAAAATGATAAAAAATTGATCTTTTTATTCTAATTAATCAGATAACATTAGCTGCTCGATACTTCTTCAGACCAATGACACTTCTTTAACCATACTCTTTTATGTGTGCTGTCAATTAAACTAATTAATGTTTAAGATGCCGACTTAGATAAAAGAAATCATTCTCAGAAAGATATGGGAAAAATGTGTTTTGATCACCAAATTTTTTGACTATGAAATGATCACCAAGTTAATTAAGACATGAGTAAATTGAAGTGGTATGATGTGACTGTGGGTATCCGATGTGAGGAAAAGTTTAAAACTCAGGTTGGAACCGATGATTTCGTTACTAAAGATCGATAAAATTGATCAAATAGCAGTAACAAG